GCTCCCTTCTAAACAATTCGCAGTTCTCATAAATACCAATTACTCCCCTCTAGAAACCGGGGCAAGGGATCACATTCATTGGATATTTAAAGCGAGGGCATCAAATGACAACAAGAAATGTTTGGCTGGTTAACATTCCCTAGAATGAGTGATTCTCCAGGTCTTGCCTCTGAGTTAGCACAGGGAGCAGGGCCCGTCTCATTTGCCAAGTGATTGCCGGGGAAGATGGATATTCTGTCTGCGTAAGCAGAGAAATGATGAAGAAAGAACATGAATTAGCACCATCTGGGTTGATACTCCCCATCAGAAATGGACGTTTATTTCAAAAATTAAGTGATCGTTGACAGTTCTCCCCCCCTACCCCACGCCTCAATGGATGACTTTTAGAAAAGCCTACTGAATTGGCTCTTCATTTTAGTCACAGCTGTTTGTTTGCAAAAGCTCCCCCACTTGCTAACTTGTAAAAAATGTATAGGAGCAACTGACAAGCTGTTTCTTTGATCTTCAGTGAAGGTTTTGTTCTTGTTTTTATTTTAGCAGTGCCTGGGAGTACGGATCTCTGGGCAGCTAATGATAGCGAGCTGTGGGATGGAGGAAATGATCCTGCCTGACCTGAAGGCAAGGAATTTACAGGACTGGTAGGGGAGACTTCGTGCCTGCTGGAAAAATTTCCAATAGCTTGTAACTAATGTAAAATTTATGACCAGCCCTGTGGAAATTAGTGCTTACGTTAACAGGCTCAGGCAGCAAAACATCAGCTAAACTTAGCTCTGGCTAGCTGATAAACTTTCTTAATTGGCCTGGAAATGTCTCCAGTTCGAAGAAATGTAGGATTTCGGTCAGTTTTGCCGGCCATTCGTCACCTCACAATGGTAGTGGTATGTTCAGTCATTCAACAAACATTACGAACTTACGTGCCAAGCATTCATTCTGGCAACAAAGGCGAATTTGGGCCCAGGGGTACGTGTCCCAACAAGGCAGACAGTCCCCGTCCTCTGAGCTAATGGGGTTTCGGCCTCGAATGGTGCCAGTAGGCTGAGGGGGGCTGCAGTGGCAGTGCTGGGCGCGGGTGCTTCTACTGGGCAGCTGTCCCCTGGGGGTGCACAGCCTCGGAAAAGGGCATGCAAACAAGGCAGGCTGAAAGGTAAGGTCGGAAGAGAGCAGGTTCTGTGGGGAGGAGTCTGAGCCGTGAACGCTAACGACTGCCCTCTGCCCCCTGTAGCATGGACAAGGACAGCCCGGACATCCACCAGGACCTGAACGCCCTCAAAACCAAGTTCCAGGAGATGCGGAAAGTCATCAGCGCCATGCCCGGCATCCACCTGAGCCCTGAGCAGCAGCAGCAGCAGCTGCACAGCCTCCGGGAGCAGGTCAGGACCAAGAATGAGCTTCTGCAGAAGTACAAGAGCCTCTGCATGTTTGAGATCCCCAAGGAGTAGACGAGGCCGGCTTCTAGGAAGGCCCGGGAAAGAAGCGGGAGAGCACATGGCCTCCCTGACTCCCCCGACCAGCGCCTCGGACTCCAGCTGCGAACTCTGTGACCCGGTGCTGCCGTAGCTGATTCCGGAGCCGAACTTGGCATCGACTGTGTGGGGAGCCAGCACTCGGGCTTGGCATTGTTGGGGCCTCCTTGTAGAGGGTGCGTCCATATGTCTAGATGCATAATAACCGGAGTGCCTGCTGGTGGAAGGAAGACTGTTCCTGGAGGCTGGGGAGGGGGCCGGGGATGCTGCCCCTCTTCTGGGGGCCATCTGCTGTGCATTCAGGCTCTGCTGAGCGCAGGAAGAAAGGAGGCGGCTCCTCTTTGCTTCCTGCCCTCCCCCCACCCTCTGCTCCCACCCCTGGGTATACTGCGCCCCGGGTGCTCACTGTTCTGCGACAGCAGTGTCATGAGACATAGGCATGGGAGTCCCTGGACCAGCTGGGTCTGCACCCCCATGGCACGCGTTTCAAATGCTGAAAGAAACCCGGCAGAGGAAGAATATTGTTTTGCAAGATGGCAGGGTGGCTTCCTTCCTCTTCACCCCCCCTGTCCCCCCTCCAAATACTTTGTTTCTTTTTTATGTTTGAGCCAGTGAATGAATGGAACTGTGTCGTGGGGGGTGGCAACCCAGGGGAGTGTCAGCCCAGAGCCAGGCAGGCAGCCCCTGTCTCCAGCTTCTTTGCCGCCTACATGTTCTTGTTACTTTTAGCTCCTGCTCCCTTTGTCTCTGCGCCCTTCCGTCCGCTCATCCAGCCACTTCATGCTGGAGGCCGACCAGACCCCTTTGGACCCACGCTGCTTCCCATGGGCAGGAGGGCTCCATCGTGTCTACACAGGCTCACGCCGGTTCCCAGGGGACCAGACCTTGCCTCTTAGCGGTTCAGATTCCTGTTGTCCTGGTTTAAATAACGAGTCTCCCCTCTGGCCTTCTCACTAAAGAGCCAACTGCGAACCCTCAGGCTGCACCCCAGATAGAGGTGATCCTGATGTGCCCTCGGTGACGGCTCCGCTCACCCATCACCCGGGTGTGACAGTGCCGTTTGGGGTCCGTTCTGACGCCGTGTGACAAACCACGCCTGCAGGTTCAACGGCCCAGCTCTGCTTCATGACGCCCCTCTTTTTTCCTCCGATTTGTGTGCCCCTCCCTGGCCTGTCAGACCAAGCCCTTCCCCTCGCCTTTTCCTGTCGAGGCGAGAAGCAACTGCGTGTTGTTTAGGTCTCGAAATGGGCGCGTAACCTGCCCAGACCAAGTCAGGGGCTTAACAGGCGCCTGCCGATTGACCTCGCTGGCCGCGAGACCGGTCGGAGGTGTTGTTCGCAGGGCTTCCATGTGTGCGGACCCACAGCCACCTGTCAGAGCGGGGCTGGCGCAGGGGGAGTGCGGGACGTGTGAAGGGGGGGATCTGGTTTCAGTGGCTTTGGACAGAAGAGCGCGCTCTGAACTGAAGCAGGCGGCCGCGCGGTAGGCCAGCTCACCCTGGGACTGTTATTTAACTGAATCAGTTATGTCCTTGACATTGCAGAGTCGCGTGGGGGCCAGTTTTAAGGCTCTGACCAAACGGGAACCACGAAGCACATAGAGATACAAGACCACCGGCCCTTCTGCAAGGCTGAAGACCTCTTGCTGGGGCTGAGGGAGACAGAGCCTTCCCTGTGCTCCACGCTTTGGACTGGTGACATTCTTTGAGTATAATTAAAAGAACTTGTGCTCTGCTCTCAGGACATCTTGGGTTTTGTACGGAGAAATCCATCATAAGATGTCCCTCTTGCATAGTTGAAAGGAAGATGTTCATTTTGCTCAGGGGAGAAAGAACAAATTGTGGGAAGCCCCGCCGTGCACCTCCTTCCCTCAGCCCACACAGCAAAGCCAGCATGAGAAACAGGGTAACTGTCCTCGGGAGTGACATCTATCCCCAAGGACCCAGTGGGCCTGGTGGGTCATCCTGCCCACCTGTAACCAGCCCCCCAGGCCCAGGGGTGAGTTCAGCGCCCAGGGAGCAGCTCTCATAGCACAGGATGGAAATCCCTCCCTGAGACAACACGAAACCCCTCCCGGGGCCGAGCACCCTCTCGAAGCCACCTGTTAGGGGGGTTACTGGGTGGGAAGCACTCGTGCTAAGTGCTTTGCAAACACCTCGCTTACTCCTCACAGCACCCCCACGCAGAGGGCTATTCCGTGGGTGAAGAATTGGAGGCTTGGCAGGTGTCACTTGGCCCGAGCTTGCAGTTACAAGTGGCAGAGAGCTGGTTCCCGAGTCAGGAATGGGTGCCCTCGACTGCGGAAGAGAAGGAGACACTGAGGCAGAGAAGGTGTTGGACCTACTTCCGGGGCGGCAAGTGCTTCCTGTGGCTGGGGGGGCGGGGGTTGAGCTGTCTGCTGACAGCCACGTGGCAGACCCTGGACAGGAGTCAGGGGACGAGGGTCCTGCACGGGCCTGACCGGATTCTTCTCAAGGCTCCGTTTCCCTTGTGAGAGCAGGACCCTAGTGACCCCTCAAGCTGACTGCGAGTAGCAGGTTTGGGGCCTCGCGTCACCCGCCTGGAGTGAGTCTGGGCACAGCCCCGAAGCCCTTGGTGGCTGGAGAGATGCAGCTCTAGGAAAAATCTGGATCCCTTTCTTGTCCTGGCTTTCTGAGGAGCCGTTCCAAATCAGAGAGGGCTTTGGTCCAATCATCTGCAGGTTTTTTGGAGCATTTTCTCCCAAGCCATGGGCGGCTGAGGCCATTTGCAGAATGCCAGGGTCATCTGCCAGTCTGGGGAGGGTGAGTCGAATGCCCCAGAAGTAAACCCCCGCCCCTCCCTCCTCACCCTACGGCCTTCCAGCCATTTCTAAAAGCAAAGCAAGCGTATGGCTTTTTGTTTTAAATTATTTTATTTGGTATTATAAAAAAAAACAATAGCAATAACTTTAAAGACTGTCACACACACAGTACAAACAACTGAGTAAGAGTTTGTTCATGTCCATGATGACCTCAGAACTATTAAAGTGCAAGTTGTGTTTCGTTCTCCTTTGTGCAATTTCACACACACATGTAAACAAGTCACTTGGCTATGATCTGACCCACACCCTCTTATTCTCAGGAGGGCAGAAGCTTTCCTAAGCTGTCATGGCAACCCAGAATCACAGACAAGTTAATGCCCCATTTGTCCCGCCTAGACCCTCCAGGGGTCAGGACAGGTTTCCCAAAGCCTAACAGAGGCTGATTAACTTACACCCCCCCCTTCCCCCCATTCTTGTCTTTGTCACAAACAAGACAACGTCCCCCTCTGCCGAGCCTGTGCCCCCAACCCGTGGGGGTGGCAGGCGCCCATGGGGGACGGGGGGGGGGGGGGGGGGCCAGTCCCGGTCTGAGCCAGTTCTCTTCCCTTCCAGAGCAAAGGGCCATCCCTTCATTGTTTGCGCCCCCCTAGTGGGCGCGGGGCGCGGGGAGGGAAGATGCCAGTCCACGCGCGCGAAGCCCAGGGCTGGCCCAGACGTCAGACGTGACTTTTCAACAACAACGTTCTCTTTAGGTTCTGTCGCCGGCGCGGGGGGCTGGGGGTGGGGGGAGGCTCCTAGCTGATGACGCAGCGCTCCTTGTCCTTGGCCTGGCTGCCGCCGCTGGCCTTCTCGCGGATGTACATGAGGTCGCTGTGCACGCTGGGCCGGCGCGCGAAGGGCGCCACGATGCCGAAGGCGTCGCCGGGGTCCCCGCCGCCGCTGCCGGCTCGCAGCAGCTTCTTGTTCCGCAATGCCTTCTTGTGCAGCACGTCGCAGTACTGCACGGACACCTTGCGGTGCAGGTCCGGGCTCATCTCGCTGGGCAGCTTGGCCATGGCGAAGAGCGCCCGGAACATCTGGTCCAGGCTGCTGTTCTTCTTGGCCGAGATCTCGAAGTAGGCGCAGCGCTGGGGGTCGTCGCCCACCAGCTGCTCGATCTCGCGCTGCTCCACCTCGCGGTAGAAGTCCCGGTCCCCCTTGTTGCCACAGATGACCAACGGCACGTCCACGTTCTCCTTGGTTTTGTTCTTGAGGCAAGACTTGGTGTCGAGGATCTGCTGCTTGAGCCTCTGCACCTCCTCGAAGGAGTCGCGGTTGTCCAGGCTGAACACCAGGATGAAAACGTCTCCTACGAGGGAAAAGAAGGGGCGTTAAAGGAACCGGGGAGGATGGCGGCCAAGGGGACAGCTGAAGTGGGACCGACCGGGGAGCGCACGTCCCGCCGCCAGGCGTCGCGGCTCCAGCTGCCGCGCGCGGGGCGCCCCAACTTCTCTCCGCGCGCCGTGGAGCGCGGGGGCGGGACGTGGGGTCGCCGGGCGCCCTCGGACCGGGGGTCCCCATCCCCCGCCCCAGTGGCGCAGCTCGGGCCCGGCTGCCGCTCACCAGTGAGGATGGAGAGGCGCCGCATGGCGGGGAACGGGTGGTTGCCGGACGTGTCGAGAATGTCGAGCTGGTAGACCTCGCCGCGGATGGAGTAGAACTTGCGGTGGAAGTCCTCGATGGTGGGCGTGTAGGCGTCCTCGAAGCGGCCCGTGAGGAAGCGCGACACGATGGCCGTCTTGCCCACCTTGGACGAACCGAGGATGACCATGCGGTAGCAGTTCTTGGCCGGGATACTCAGCTCCGAGTCGCTCGGGCACATCTTCTTGATCATCGCGGCCAGTTTCATTTGGCGGAGGGCCGCAGGGGCGGGAGCGGGGCCGAGAGAAGCGCGGAGAGCGGCCGGGGGCGCGGAGCTGGCGCGGGGCTGCGCGGCTTGGCGGCGCGGAGCTGGCGCGGGGCTGCGCGGCTTGGCGGCGCGGAGCTGGCGCGGGGCTGCGCGGCTCGGCGGCTGTGCTCGAGGCTGGGGCTGCGGCTGAGTTCCGGGTCGAGCTCCGCTCCGCTCCCGTGCTGTCGGACCAAGTCGCTCGCTCTGGTTCTGTGCTCCCGGAGGCCGCCCTTATAAGCAGCCTGAGCGGCCGCCCCGCCCCGCGCCCTCCCAGCCTCCGTGCGTCACGCCCCGCGGGCCCCCGCGCCTCCTCCCGCGACCTCCGCCGGCCGCCGCTGCTTCTTCCCGCCGCGCACGAGTAGCAACTGAGTCCGGGTCCCGCTGGGGCAGAGGGCGCGCGGACGCCGTTCTCCACCGCACGGGGCTCGGCGGCCGCAGGGGCGTCAGGGTTGTAGTTCCTCCAGTGGCTCTGACTCTCCGCGCCTTGGCAAGGACCTCACCCGCAACACTCACACACTCATACACGCACTTTCATGCTCACTCTCCTTTTCTTGGGGCCTCAGTTTACCCAGAGAGTAACAACTGTAATCTCGGCACAGCAGGAGCGTAATCGCAGGTGTTTACCAGTGCTCGGCATCGTGCACGGGGCCTTGCATACCTCCCTTCTCTCCTCGGTCCCGAGAGCGAGCCCGCGCGGCAGTGCCCTATCCGTCCGCAGGCGCGTGCCTGCTCCCCGGCGATGGTGTTAGCGCCGAGGTCGGCGCCGTGCGCTCCGGCCACCAGAGGGCAGCAGAGGCCCCGCCGGCGGGGCCGGGAGGCCGCAGGCACCGCTCTCCCGGGCTGGAGTGCGGGAAGAGCCTCCAGATTGGGGTCTGGTGAGGTCCGGCCTTGGGCTCTAGGCCGAGACCCAGCAGGAGCCGTCCCCCGCCCCGCGCTCTACGCCAGGCCTCGGCATCTCCTTTCGCCCAGCCAGTGATGCTCTGAAGCCGGCCAAGGCTTTCAGTCAGGGGCTGGCCCCGTCCTTTTCCTGGGCGGCACCCCAAGGACCAGAGACTTGCCCTTGCTTGCTTGGTCAAGGCTGGACCAACGTGCCGTCCTCCCTGCCCCATAGCATTTTGTCCCTCAGGAGTCTCTTGGGCCAACAGTCCCATTTTGCAACTGGCAGGGGCTGGGTCTCAAAGCCGGTGTGAGTGAGGAAGCCCATAGCTTGGGGCGCCTGGGTGGCTCAGTCCTTAAGCCTTCGGCTCAGGTCATGATCTCGGGATCCTAGGATCGATCCCCGAGTTGAGTCCCCGCTCAGCGGGAAGCCTGCTTCTCCCTCTCCCCCTCTCTGTTAAATAAATAAATAAAATTTTAAGAAGGAAAGAAAAGAAAACAAACCACGGGCTCAACGACCCATGGGCTTGCAGCACTGTGGGTGGGGGTGCAGGGCGTCGGGAGCCAAGACCCGAGGCAGCAGGTTGATCAGTAGTCTGGCTGGGGTTGGTGGGCTCAAAGGCCTGGAGCACAGTGAGAAGCCACAGATCCTCACAGCAAAAAGCGAGGCTGTGCTCGATTTGGGAGAAAGCCGGGGAGCCATGAGCTGGTAGCAGCCACCCATCCGCACAGGCCTTGGTGTTCCAGCCAGTGTCAGGGCCCCCAGCCTGCCGCCCCCGCTTTGGCACAGGACCTGTGACTCCCAGACCCCATCTTAGCCAGACCCTCTAGGACAGGCCCTCCCGCAGAATGTCACGCCCGCTGAAAGTGATGCTGGGGGAGGGTTTATTTGCGCCATGCACTGTTCTAAGTCCTTCCTTCCAGCAACCTTGAGAAGTAGGAATTATTACTGTCTGTATTTTACAGGTGGAGAAACTGAGGCAGGGGGCATGACTGGCCAGGGTCCACAGGAGGTAGCAGCAGGGCTGGGGCCTGAACCCAGGGGGCTTGTGGTCCTGGCTCTTACCCACCCATAGTGCCCCTCCTATAGCTCTGTTCCCAACTGTGGGATATCCATGCCCCCTTTCTCAGAGCACACCACTCAGATCTCCCTGCCCCTCCATACCTGTCCCCAAGCCTCATGCCTACTGTTGATGAGGTGTTTCAGAGGCACACCTCACACGATGAGCCCCCAAGAGCTTACCATTAGGCTCTGATTCTTGGTGTCACTTATGCAGGAGTTGTGTGACAGGCCAGCTGGGCTGGGTCTTCCCCACCCCTCTTGACCCTGCTGTGGCTGCTCTCCCTGCATTCCCCATCTGAGATGAGAAGGAACTGAGCCGATGCCAGCACCCAGGGCCGCTGTGGACTGTGGTGCAGGGCGTTCACTGCAAAAAGAAACCAGACAAGGACGCAAGCAGGGGCCGATCATGGCCTGAGCCTGCCTCACCCCCAGACGAGGGGCCCTCCTTTTGCCTCTTGTGAAGGCACAGTATGGGCAGCTGGGCTTTCTGAAATACAATGGCTTCTGGCTCCTTCCTGATGGCCTATGCCAGAGGGCCAGAGTGAATGTGGCCTCCAGTCCTGAGAGGATTTGAACCAGCTCTCCCTGAGGAGACCCAGTGGGCTGGGCCCCAGCCTGGATTCAGAGCCTCCCTCAAGGTCAGGGTCAGCACTGACATCATGGCTCTCCGGCCCAAAGCTCCCGTGGCAGGAACTGAGCCCAGCTTGGGTTCTCAACCGCAATTACCAGTCCCTTCTGGGAGTGTCACCCCACCTCACAGATGCCAGGTTGTAAGATGTGTCCTCCCAGGTCTGCCGAGTTAATCCCTGAGTGCGTGTGTCATTCATTCCCCAAACAGATGCCCCCACAAAACAGCCTGTACACCTGCCCAGCCCTGTGGGCGGCCTGGGGGGCCTCACTCCCAGGGGAAACCAGCCCCGGTGAGGTGTGCTGGCTTGGGATGTCCCGTCTGGCTTTCTCTGAAGGCATCATTCCATTACAAACGAAACCCACGCTCATGCTTATGTAGCATCCAAACTTAAGAAAGGAACAGAGCGGAAGGAACCGGGTACAGGACCCCCCCCCTTTCTGCCCACTCCCCAGGACAGTGAGGCCCACTCTGCGGGAGGCATCCACACACACCCCCCCACACACACACAGGCACACACACAGGCACACACTCCTTCCCTGCACTCCCACCGCCCACGCCCCAGCAGCCGGGAGCATTGTTTTCATGTTGTCCAGGTTAACAATAGTTACAAACGATTCTGTTTTCTGGGTGTTTGGGCACAAAGCAACAAACAGCATCTGTGGGGCTGAGCCTCCTCCTACATGTTATTTATTTGCAGCGCTTAGAGGGGAAAGGGAACTTTAAAAATATTTACCAAGTGTTGAGGGCCCCTTGGAGGGTGGACAGCTGGCCCCCAAGGCAGGATCTGGCTGCAGCAGCCGAATCTGGATCTGGTGGTGAAAAGCAGTTTAGGCGTTTCCTGAAAGCCCTCTGGGGAGAGCACCAGGCGGTGGAGGTGAGTGGACACTTCCCGCAAGAATGCACATGTCCAGGAGCCGTGGCACCAGCCTGAGCCCCGTCCCCACCACAGCCACCACCTGAACGGGAACACGGTGACGAAGAGCTCGTATTCCCCTGACAGGCTCCCCTCATCACGCCCAGGTCACAGCCATCTTTCAGTTTCCTCTTCAGCGCTGAGCTCTGCTCCCGTCATAACAGATCCTCACAGGGGAGCCCACTCAGCCCACGGCTCCGGCCCCGCCCTGGGCCCCTCCTCCCACCGCCATGTGGACCCATGGGGCAAGCTGCTTGGAGTTCCTCGGTTCTGCCCTGACAAAGCCTTCAGGAGGCCAGCGTATCCTCAAAGGCAATGTGCACAGAGGTCCTTGTGGAGGAGTGAGCTCCCTGTTCCAAGGGGTGTGCAAGTAGACACAGAGAGTGAGGCACTGGGTAAGATCAGACTAGATGCCTCTTGGGGCCTATCAAGGCCTGAGATAGACTCTGGATTCTATGAATCAAAGAAAAGAGCTCAAGGAGTTCTGTGGGTAATGAAGGAGCCATCCAGCCTGCAAAGCCTAGACACCTGCTGCATACACAGACAGGCATGAATATCACGGCCCTGTTATAGGGTCGGGGGGTGGGCACTCTGAGAGCTGCATGCACAGGTGGGGAGTCTGAGTGGCAAGGGGAAGGCCTGGCCTGTGTCCTCGGAGGGCTGGCGGCCTGCAGATAAGGCAGGGGCCCAGAGGAGGGGCAGGCCCGGTACACTCGGCCTTGCAGTCAGGCTTGACCCACAGGCCCCAAATGATCACATGGTCTGTTCCTCCTGGCGATGAGGCTCACAAGGAATTAGGAGAGAAATGTCAGCGTTAACCAGAGATGCTGAGTCCAGCCCAGGAGTGTGGGGGGAGACTTGGGTGCTGGGCCCAGGTCCTCCAGTCCCACCCAGGAAGCCCCATCCCAGGGCCCGGGGAGCCCGAAGCTCTCTTCAACTCCTCCCCCCTTAGCGACAGAGAGAGGGACCGTGAGCTTGGGGTAGCACAGACCTATGCCTCCTGGACAAGTCACCCAGCCTCAACCACCAAACGGAGGTGATCCCCGCCTGGGTGGTCGTCTGGAGACACCAGCACAGGGCAGGGCCCCAGAGCAGCTGCTTGCCAAATGTCCGTGGTCCAGCCCAGCCCGGCCCTTCCCCTCCCTCCACAGGCTCAGGCACTGCTAGCAAGTCCAGGGCAGCACGTGAGGCCTCACTCCTTCCTCAACCACAGCGCCTTCCCACAGCCCGCCCCCACCCCATGGCCACCTTCAGGGGCATGCAAGGTCCCATCCAGACACAGACCCCTCATAGGCCCAGGGGTTTTGCAATGTGACTGCATCTGGACTTTTCCGATAACCTTCAGATCACTCCACAGAGATGATCTGTCTCCAAGGCCAGCTCATCTAGCGTGGACCTGGTGGCCTGGGGTTCAGAGAGCATGAGGTCACGGCCCAGCTGTGAATGTGGTCATGCCCCAAGGGGCACCAACTGGGCCGACCCACTGGTCTGACCCCCAGGGGCCAGACACCTCGTGGCTGCTGCTCCTCCCTCGCTCGGTCCTTCAGAGCC